AAGGAGAATCTGTTTTCTTTCTTGGTGATATGAAATATGGTGCTGCCACTGATCGAAGTCCAAAGGGCATGTTCAATATGGACTACTTATGGTATTTCCCCCATGATTGTTTCAATGATAATCATATACATGAGTGAGTGATACACTTAAATCACATGTGAATTACATGTGATTCACATATAATTTACATATGAATCACATGTAATTCACATGTAAATCACAAGTGAATTACATATGAATTACATGTAATTCACATATGAATCACATGTAATTCACACGTAAATCACAAGTGAATCACATATGAATTACATGTGATTAACATGTAATTAACATATGAATTACAAGTGATTCAAATGTAAATCACATATGAATCACATGTAAATCACAAGTGAATCAGATATGAATTACATGTGATTCACATGTAATTCAGATATGAATCACATGTAATTCACATGTAAATAACAAGTGAACCACACATGAATTATTGTGATTCACATGTAGATCACATATAATTCACATATGAATCACATGTGATTCACATGTAAATCACGAGTGACTCGCATATAAATTACATGTGATTCATATGTAATTCACATATTAATCACATGTAATTCACATGTAAATCACAAGTGAATCACATATCAATTACATGTGATTCACATGTAAATCACAAGTGAATAACATATAAATTACATGTAATTCACATGTAAATCACAAGTGGATCACATATGAATTACGTCTATGTGAACACATGCATTTTGTGTGTGTTCTTTGTTAATTATTTTTTAAAATTTTCTTGTCAATTTCACATTTGAATCTTAAAATATGCAATCACATGTGAATCTTACATGATATAATCACATGTTAATCTTACAGGATATATATATACATGTGCACTTTTGTGAGTGTTCTTGCATTAATCAATTTTTTTTAATTTTATTGTAGATTTTGAAGAATTTGCAGAAAATCTTGAAAATGTGAAAAGTAATACATTGAAGAAAATATATAAATTTTGATATGAAGAAATGACAACACTGTGAAACTTTGTAGCATTTTTATTTTTTATATTTTATTTTGTATCAATTGAGAGAAGTCCCACCTCGAAGTTGTGATGAAACTCAAGCAAAAATCTTACTCTATATAATAAAGTCCTTTTCTAAGCAAAAACTAGAAATCGGTTTGATTTGGTTTAAACCCAAAACCGAGCCCAGGGAAAACTGAGAAACTGAACCCATTGGTTTTGGTTTGGGTTTGGGTTTAGTTTTTTAAAATCGAAGCTTATTGGTTTGGGTTCAGTTTTAGGTCAAAACCGACCCATGCTCACCCCTATTCAATACTCACTGCTTAGGGGCATTTATCTCATTGAATATAGAACAAAAAATAACATATGAATTGTGTAAGCGGTATGTTAGATTGTGAACTACAAGATTTCCGGTTTCGGTTCCTTTAGAACCAACTAAGCCTTTATTCGGTTAAGCCAGACCAAAAAACTTGTGAACTAAATAAGCCTAGAATACAAAACTGAGAACCCAACCAGATATTCAGTCCTAATTTGGTTTCGATTTCGGTTCGGTTATTCAGTCAAGATACTCATCCCTAGTTATAGTTTTGGGAACAACTATAAGTTAAGACTAATAAGAATTGAATTGGTTGACTCTTAGAAGATGAAAGTAGACATAACATTGTAGCCAATTTCATAGATACTTGTTAGAGAACAAGTATTGGACATGACCCATTTCAAGATCACTTCGTGGATCACTTTCAAGAGTGATGTTTGGTAAAAGTAATATATTTGTATTCTTAGACCCGGGATACATACAACGAACTTGAGTGTTGGGAATGTTATATTTTGATATGGTTAAATGTTATTCTTTGATCAGGCAATTATAAAGGTCATTATTAGGTATAATATGAACTACACAAGAGACATATGTAGTTAAGAAGGGATTTGTTCGTATTAGTATTGAAAGTAAGACATCAAAGGAGGCTTACTAAAAGTTGAATATTAATAAGATTTGTTGTAATCTATGTCTCATGTTGAGCTTTTGGGAATTAGATGTTGTTGAATGACATTTCTCCATATATTGTTAGGGGGATTAAAGCATTGCTAGATGTTCACCATTGACTATATCAATCTATCATGAGTCTTATGTAAATAGGAGATTGTTGGATCTTTATGCTCAAGAATCATATTAGAATTATATTTACTAATAGCATATGATCATATATGGTCACATCAATAACAAGTTATCACAAATATATTATTTATAAGAAACTATTTAGATGGAATGTCATTGACTAAGACATGTTATTATTTATAAGAAACTATCAGAGACCAAAATCGCATTCATCCACCCAAACCACCTCTCATCAAAACCTAGAAACATCATCACTTGTAATAAATAATCCCAACTTAACGAGTCATAAGATTTACAAAATCAATCTTCAAAAGAAGCATTATTTTCTTCCTTCATTTGTACCACTAGATCATCTCATTCATGATCAAAGGCTCATCCAAAATCAGGCTCCCTTTAAACAAAGCTGACTACTCCATACTTACGACAAAATTGACTACTCTAGCTAACTCGTTGGGAAGAAACCAAGAACCTTAGCTATATTCTTATGACATCATATCAAATGGATAAATATGCCTATAATCTATAATAAACAACAGTTTCTCAACCTTTGGAATCAAGGTTATAAATGAAGAATTACAACCTATCAGGATGTGGAGCTTTGTTAACACCACAACCAAACTATCTCTATGACTTCCTTTATCGAGAACCCTTCCTCTAATGTTGTCATCTGCAGCAAACTTATGCTCTTGAACCTGAAGTTTCGGTTTTGGATAGGACCCCCACAAACCGTTGGAATTTTTTTTAAATGATCAAAAAACACAGCTTTGACTTCGGTAGGATTCGTAATCCAATTTCCCTCCTTTTTTTTACTCAATTTAATGGCCATCTACAGTGGTGAATGCATAAATTTAAATAATAATGGTACCATGTTATATATATATATATATATATATATATATATATATATATATATATATATATATATATATATATATATATATATATATATATATATAGTAATAAGTTTCAAACTTTTTATTACATATCCGTTCAAACCAGTATTTTAGTGTTTTAACCATTAGGTAACTATGGCACTAGACGTTCCCCAAACGGGTACTGTTGGGTTGAACTTTGCGGAGATTTGTGTTTTTGGTAAACAGTCGTCCGAGCCGGACGGAGATTGTCCCTCGAGTGCAAAGGCAGAAGAGAGCTTGACTGCAAAACCCACCCGTCGAGTAGGGACGAAAGTTGGCGTTAGTGATCCGACAATGCCGAGTGGAAGGGCACAATTTTGCAAAGAAATAGCCGACTTTTTTTCTCGAGAAGAGACGGGAAAGATGCTCAATATCATATTTTTTCCATCACTTATATATATATATATATATATATATATATATATATATATATATATATATATATATATATATATATATATATATATATATATATATATAGGGTTAGGTTTATGTGAGATGACCTAATTTTGTGAGACCGTGAGACGCATTTTTTTTATTTTTTTTACTTTTTTTTAATTTTTTAAAATTTTTTTTAGTTAATTCAAGTTCCGAAAATAATATTTAAAAAAAGAATTTTTTGATTTTTCCATTTATTTTGCATTTTAAAATTATTTTTAGAATATATACAGTGTAATATTCTATTTAAAATATTTCACGTATTTTTCAAAAAAAATAGAATTTTTTTTAGTTAATTCAAGTTCCGAAAATAATATTTAAAAAAAGAAATTTTTGATTTTTCCATTTATTTTGCATTTTAAAATTATTTTTTAGAATATATGTCAGTGTAATATTCTATTTAGAATATTTCACGTATTTTTAAAAAAAAAACGGATTTTTTTTTTTTAGTTAATTCAAGTTTCGAAAATAATATTTAAAAAAAAATTGGATTTTTCCATTTATTTTGCATTTTTAAATTATTTTTAGATTTGATTTCACGGTCTTACAAAATTAGAATGATCTCAAATGAACCTGAACATATATATATATATATATATATATATATATATATATATATATATATATATATATATATATATATATATATATATATATATATATAGTGTCGCTAATTTTTAAAGACATTGCACTATAATAAATAAATAAAAAAAAAACAAACAAACAAACAAACAAAAATTACACTAACAGATAGGGATGAACATTTGGACCTGGGAACGGGCCAAAACCGGTACCGATACCAAATAGAAACGATTGGATCGGGACCGGAACAATATTCTTATAGATTTTTAGAACCGATAGGAATCGGAACTAGTAAAACCGAAAACGGTGAAAACGGTAAAACCCGAAACCGTATGATGCTATTTCTTGAGGACCAGTTTCAACATTGGACTGAATGTATACTTTTCTATTAATGTTTATAGTACAACAAGCATTGATTATTCTACAATATCTTTGCATGTCAAAGGAAGCTATAGGTTGCAGCCGATTTATTTTATCTACACTGTTTTACATCTTCGTGTTTACCTTTTTTGTTATGTTATTTTGGTTTTTAATTGATGTTGGGTTCCAATAATTTGTCCATTGTTAAAACATAATGAAATAGTCTATAATTGGACATCAAACCAGAAACTGACCTTTTCAATGAGATACCAAATTTAATAATTTCTATACAAATTTGTCGCCTTATTAACCTATGAAAGTACTTGCTATCCAACTTCATATTCTCTTACAAATTTGTACCTTTCTTGAGGTTAGAATTTAATCTGTCTCGCAATAGAACTTTTTCCAATAAGTAGCGCATGTATGTTTTTTCCATATACAAGAAATCATTAACTTAGTCTTCAAATTATTTTAAATAAGACAAAACAGATTAAAAATTTCGGTCAAGGAACACAACACAATACTAGATATAAGTATAGGTAGGGTAAAATGCCGAAAATAGGATAAGTTCAAGAAATAACAGTTGTGTTTATTAGTTAATTATATCACCCATCTTAGTTTCCGATATTTCTGTTATTACAAAATTACACATACAATGATACAAACTATATACTGTGTTTTGAAAATTTACCGAATTAAAAGAGATTGAAATTTACCTATTTTTCTTATTAGGATATTATACTTTGAAATTTTTGTTCAGCCATAAAATTGCTATCTATTTCTTCCAATTTAACCTCTCACCATAGAAGAAGATTCAACAGTCTTTTGATGAATTTGATGAATTTAAGCAAATACATCTTGAGTAAAAGGTAAGCGAGTATCATCACATGGTTGGTTATGGGAATGGGATTGAAGCTGCTCATAGTTTAGTTGTCTTGAAGCTTCATACAAACCAATGCCAACACTAACAGATAGATTAAGACATCTTACATAAGTTTCAATCATTGGAATTTTAATCAAACCGCCACCAAGCGGTTCGCTTTTGCAGTCAACCAACGCTTCCGGTGGTAGGCCGGTGGTTTCTGAGCCAAATACAAGCCAGTCCCCTCTCCTATACAAGAAATCCTGCATGCGATTTTACATATACCAATGTACCCAAAATATAATAATATGCCTTAATGGAGGTCTGTTATTTATTTATTTTTGTTGAATAATAGGAGTCTTGGTGACTTACAGAATGAATGTTTGTCCCTCTTTTAGTAAATGCCAGCAGCCTTTTTTCACCTTTCTGTTATCACAAATGATGGAAGTTATAAGAGAATAAGTGAGAATATCAACTGAAGAAAAGCTTTAGAAAAACCACCTGTTGCTTGAAATATTCTCGAAAATCTGACCATGAGCTGTGCACTTTAACAACTACGTATCTGATGTAAAGATTAAGGAAAGAACGTTCTGGATAGAATGGAATAAGAGTAAATTACACGAAAGGTCCCTATGGTTTGGGGTAATTTGCACGTTTGGTCCCTAACTTATTTTTTTAACTCGGAAGGTCCCTACTGTTTGTTTTTGCTACGCACTTGGTCTCTACTGTTTGTTTTTGTTACGTGTTTGGTCCCTGTCTTACCTAAAAATACTATTATTAAAATAGGGAAAAATTGTGGGGTAGGTAAGATAAGGTGAGAGAGCAGGATTGATGGTGTGTTTATTTAAATAAATTAAAAAATAATAGGAAAAATAGTATTTGTAGGTAAGACAGGGACCAAACGCATAACAAAAACAAACAGTAGGGACCTTCCGAGTTAAAAAAATAAGTTAGGGACCAAGCACGCAAACTATGCTAAACCATAGGGACCATTCGTGTAATTTACTCATGGAATAGACAATGTAATGATTAATGAAATGAGTCATTACATTCGTTGATCATATTTCGTTTGGAATGGGATGAATTTTTGATGTATTATATGTAAATACAATTTACAGTTTTAGCTCAGTTCCATACGTTATTTAATTAAAAAAAATTATTTCAAAAAATAAAACATAAAACATAAGTTAAGTTGGTTAAAAACCCAAATAAGAGTACATAATAAAACCATATTTACGAGTTAATTTTTAAATATAAGATTCTAGTAACGTAAAAAAAAGGTTATATTGCAAAATTTCATTTCATTCAGATGACCGACTCAAAAATAACAAAATGGAATGAATCACATTCCATCAAATGAACAATTTTGATGGTAGGATACGGCCAGTAATCAAGTCCAGCCCGCTTTAGCTTTGTATCATCCACCTCAAATCCCAGTGGCTGAAGGAGGAAAAAGATCATCATATGGCTAATAAGACTAAATTGAATTCATAGCATTTGATGGGTTTTATATTTAATCTGCACATCATTACGGTTAGATTAATTTTTGAACTCAAATTAATCTAACCACACAATGTTGGTTGAATTACGATTTAATCACTTAAGTTGATTGTTCTGTAGCTATATGGTTATCTAAGATACTAAAGATTGTATAAGTATTTGTTGTATGTTGTAAATAAACCGACTTTTGTTGAATATATTTTCTAAGCTAAATTGTAAAATAAACTTAGAGCAACAAAAGCGGATGTGTTTACCTCAACCAGGTGTAGCCCAACACCTGAAGCTGCACAGCTTCTAGCAATGCACCCAGTGTTTCCAGGAATCTGCAACAGATGATAGAAATTTCAAAAGTAATGCCCACGTGCCATTAATGTTGGATAAATCATGCGGATCAACTCAAAAATTACACACAATCAAAATTACCAAACATAATATCATGATTAATTTTACACTTCTACATAGTACAAGTGTAATGTCACAAAGTAGAAGTAACAAAGCAACACTACTGTTTAGATGTTCATTCAACGTATCTATCACATTATGCTTGTTTTGTATCGAAAATTGGAATACCAAAATGTTTATATAGTAACGATTTAATAAAGATTTATGTAAATATATCTTTAAAGATATTACTAATATAATTATTATTAGACAGATTAAAAGGCAATGGAGTTATCTGAGTGAATTCGAACACCTCAGCAATAAGTTTACCTGTGGAGAAACCAAAACAACTTGAAGAAGTTTACCCTCGGACACCTTGCTTCCCGCCACACCAATCCCAGTAACTAATGAATCCCCAGTCGATTTTTCAGCTGCAAAATACACAAAATGTTACTTGTAATTCATCAAAACTAAGCTTTAAATAACTCCGCATCCTCGAAAATCGACTACAGTCCTAACTAATTAAATTAAGTATGATGCTGAGAGAGAGAAAGGGGTATACACAGTGAAGAAATGGGAGACGAGCGAGAGGAGTGATGAGAGAGCGGGGAGTTGAATTTATTTTTGAATTTATGCAAGAAAGACGGGCAACGACGAAATGAAGCTATTCCTGAACAGTGGATGTAACATGGCGTCGTCATAAAACCTAGGGTTTTAAAACCTACCGTTGTCTCCATTTTATGCTCTGCGTCCTACCTCTCGGTGTGTTAGGCCCAAGGCTATGGAAAAAATGAACTTTTATTCGAGAGCTAAGTTATTGTCTTCTACCAACTCTAGTCACTCGATTATTATTATTTTCAACTTAGTCCTTCTCCTTTTTAAGTTATTGTTTTCTACCAACTTTGGTCCCTCGATTATTATTATTTTCAACTTAATCCTTCTCCTTTCAACTTATGTATTGTTTGTTTTTTCGAAGCGAAAATTTATGAAGTCTGCGGATTACCTCTGCAACCCTTTATAGAAGAAGAATTGGATTAAACAGCTGCAACTTGTAATAAAAAGTATGTTTGTTTTTTTAACATTTGTAGGCTCTTGTAGTAAACTGATATTTAAAAATGATTTACAAACTTAAAAATACTTCTCAACATCGAAATTTGAATAATTCTACTTTTAAAACATTGAAAGAATACTAAAAACAACATGTAGAAAACAAAAATATAAAAGTTCTAAAATTATATATATATATATATATATATATATATATATATATATATATAAGTCGTTACCCGCGTAAAGCAGCGGTGGCGAATAGGTTTTTCGGCAATTAGTTTCTTTTCGTTGAACAATATTTAGTTTCAATTCAATGATTAGTTTGGTTTAGAAAACATATCATATTAAAAATAAGATCAATATATTGTCAAATATTAATAATCATTAGTTTCAATTTTGCTATTTGTTTTTTTTTTTTTCAACGGACAGTATATTCTTTAATATATTTGTGGCTTTTAATGTATGTTGAATAAATGTTTTCCTATGTTGGATCTATTATTTCGAAAATAGATCATTAATAAACACATCACATACATTGTATGCTTGTAATTGTAAGGTCGAAGATGATGAAAAAATAGTCGAACATTAAGAACTCATAAATCAGAATGTCTAATACCATATATTAATATTTTGAGAGAAGAAAAGTAATTGAACCACATCATAGATGATTCATGGAATACGAACAAATGACACACACACACACACACACACACACACATATATATATATATATATATATATATATATATATACACACACACAAACATACACACACACTAGACGAATGATTGCGCGTTGCGTAAAAACACCTATATAGTTGAAATTTTTACAAATATATGTTTTCTTAAATATAACAATAACGTTATTGTTAAATTGGATATAATAATTCGTATATTAAGTTGATATAATATATTGATTGTTTTGAATTATATGCTAATATATACATCTATTAAAACTGTATAATCTCAATCGTTTAAATAACATCTACTCGCGGGTTACTCATAAATAAAAATAAAAAAATAATAATATGGTTTAATGTTATCTTTTATTGTTAATTAATTTTATAAAATTTATTTGTTTAACATTTTAATTTCTATCATTATAATTATTTAAAATATCAAATATTGTTTTTTGTTTTTAAAGGTAACAATATAATCATTTATATAAAGTTAGTTTTAACTATTGTTATTGTAAGTTATTTTAAGCTATTTATTTGAAAACTTTTAATGATTATTAAAATATATTTAGGAAATATTTTAGTTAAATTGAGATTACAATTTAGTTTTTTGCATTTATCACTTTTAACTATTCATAAAATATTCTTTAGGTTTTTTTAAGTGAAACTGAAATTTATATTTAAGTTGACCATGTAATGTTATATTTAAATTAACAATTTAAGTATTTTATTCAAACTGTTTAAAAGTTTTAACTTTAAAGTGATAATAGTTTACATACAACAACATTTTAAATCTAATAAATTAAATATAATATATTAAAAATTAAAGACATAACTTTACAAATAAAAGTAAATATATTCTTTTAATATTAAAATTTAATTTATTTATGATTACACTTTAGGTTTGATATTTATTTAACATTATTAACCATCTTATAATCATTATTAGAAAGACACTACAATTTATCGTTTTTAACTATTTTACAAAATAATATTTGGATTGTTTAAGTTGAACTAAAAATTATATTTAAGTTGATCATATAATTTATATTTAAATTAACAATTTAAGTATTTTATCTAAATTGTTCAAAAGTTGTAGTTTTAAAATGATAATGATTTGCATACAATAACATTTAAAAATTAATAAATAAAGTATAATATGTTAAAAGTTAAATATATGACTTTATAAATAAAAGTAAAGATATTATTTTAATATTGAAATTTAGTTTATATATGATTACAATTTAGGTTTGATATTTATTTAATGTAACGTCCCAAAAATTTCAACAAATTTAAACTTTTCAAAACAATCCTTTTACTAATAAAATGTTTACAAAAATAGTGTTTTCAAACATTATTTAAAAATCAAAGTTTCCTAATATCCAATCTGTTGTAAAACCAATGATGCTTACTGTAACATCTGAAATCCCAGGTATATTATTTTAATATTTAATTTTTGGAATTGGTGAAGGAACTCGGTGAGTTGATGCTTAGACTCGCTGAGTAGGGTCGTGGTTGATCATCCGGGTTCGCGTTGGACTCGGCGAGTCCACGCTGTTTAATGAAACCCTAATCCTTCGGGGTTGGAGCCTATTTAAAGGCCCTTATGGCCGCCCATTGCGGCTACCACACCCCAGAGAGAGTCTTAGATCGCTTGTGAAGAGAAGAGAGGCCATTGTTGATCAATTGTTGGTAAAATTCGAAGGAAAAGGTGACCAAGGAAAAAGAAGGCTGAAGGAAGTGCAAAGCTAGTGTCTTCAGAGATGAAAGGCTTCATATTAAGGTATTTCTTCGGACCTTCTCCAGTTTTGGGTGTTGATTCATAGAGTTTGGGTTTTGTTATGGCCTTTAGAAAAAGAATATATAGAGTATTTAGTCCCCTCTCGAGTTTGTATTTGGATCTGTACTCAAAGGGGTCTAGAGACTTCAACCCATGAAGCTTTATGAGTCTTTGTGGGGTGATTGGACTTAGGTTGCCATTTTTGGGACTAAATCACCATTTGATGCCATTATGTAAATATATAAGCATCAAGTTTCGAGCTTTACGTGATTATATTGCTTGGGAAGGACAGATCTATGGATTTGAGGAACAGATCTGACCTCAAGAGGTCAATAGAACTTGTGCATGGCATGTACTCGCCGAGTTGTTCTTGGGACTCGGCGAGTTAAGTCAGGGTAGCCTCGCGATTCTTGCCTGGGGACTCGTCGACTAAAGGGAGGGACTCGACGTGTTAAATGGGACTAAAGAGTTAAGTGGACACAGGTGGACTCGTCGAGTTGCCCAAGTGCACTCGCCGAGTCGGGTCAAAGTTTGACCGTTGACTTTGGTTGACTTTTAGGGTTTGGTCAGCAGTGAGGCCTTTTGAGCCATAAGAGGGGTAAAATGGTCTTTTACCCTTATGAGGATGTTAAGAAAGGTTGGAGTATAGTTATATTTATGAGAGTATTTGCTTTATGTGTTTAGGCGGAGGTTAGTCGTATTTCTACCGAGTTAGTGATTTACCGAGATATCAGAGGTGAGTCTTCTCACTATACTGTACCTGGAAGGGTACCTATGTGTGACCAGAAGGTCTGATATGCTATAAGATATATGCATTGTCTGTGATTAGTTACCCGTTTGTATGTGTTATGTATGTTATGCTTGTTATGGGCCGGAAGGCATTATGTTATAGGCCGGAAGGCATTATGATGTGGACCGGAAGGTTAGGGAGTTATGGACCGGAAGGTCGACACGGGTAGGACTGAAAGGTTTACAGGGTTAGGATGGAAGTCCCCTGAGACACATGGACCGGAAGGTCATGGAGTGGAAGGGCGTATGTGTGTAAGTGATATATTGGGGAACTCACTAAGCATTTATGCTTACAGTTGTTGTGTTATGTGTATCAGGTACTAGTGAGGACCATGGGAAGGCGCCGACATGATCTATACACACTGATGGAAGATTTATTTTATGATCTTGGGATGTATTTTTATTATGATGACATTTGCTAAACATGAAATTTGAGAATATTAAATGATGGTTTATGTTGTTTGAAAAATGAAAAATTGTTTTGAAAATTTACGTTGTTACATGTACAGTCACGCCTTCGCTTTGCCACTCTGATCATCTGAAGAACCTGAAATCATAAACAAAACTGTAAGAACAAAGGTTAGTGAGTTTCCCCCAAAGTATCACCACACATCAGATAACATGTACCAACAAACAAATAACATGCATATAGAGTCTACAGTATGACTGAACCGCCCTCATCGGGCCTGCAGTCTATCTGGCCCACTCTCAAAACCTTCAGTATGTCTGGTCTGCCTACCCGGGCCTTTAGCCTATCTGAACCGTTCTCCGAGCCTTCGGCCTAACTGATATGCCCTAATGGGTCTGCAGTCTATCTGGTTCACCCTAGGTCTGTTGGCCTTCAGCATACTAATCCTCTCAACACATACAGTCCCGCTACCAGCTAACCTCCATAGAATGTGTAACCATAAGTAACAAGAGGTGAGATATCCACCCGAATAGATAGTCCTACTCTAGAGCTACAACCAAACAAGAAACAAGCAAGGGAGCCTAAACCAAGAGTTCTCAAGCTAACCTACGTAACCACCGACAGTCCCTAAGGGTACTCCATAGATGATAACCAACAAGCATAGATAACATACATTTCTATAGGCTATTACCACAAAGCAACAAACTCCATACCAGGAGACAGATCTAACTGATCACTACAACATATCAGCATACCAAAACACAAATCTAGCAGATCACTACAGCATAACAACATACTCAATACCAGAACACAAATCTAATAGATCACTACAACATAACAACATACTATATATCAACAATCCAAGGAATGCATAACCGTATATATTCAGAGTTGAGATAGTCACCCGGACAGGTGATCCTACTCTAAAACCACAACCAAACAAGGAACATGTAAGAGAGCTTAGATCAAGAGTCCTCATTCAATCCTACATGACTATATACTATCCCTAGAGCATCCCTTTACTATCACATAATCAATACTAGTGGGTCGGCATTGGTGCCTTCGACCCACAGGTATAGCGAGGCAAATCTCACCTCGATGTGTGTGCAGAAACCACTGTAG